CATAATCCAGGCTAATGGCTTCAACAAAATCATTAACAACTTTCTAGCTAATAATAGGTTTGTCTTTAAAGGTGCTGTATGTAAGTTTTTGACTCAAATAAAGCATAAAAATACCATGGCGCCGACGCTGATGGCTGCCTCTGTGGCGTGCTCCGCAGTTGTTTTTATGTTTTTGTTAGTTTGTCCTGTCTTTAGTCTGCGTTTGCATCAAGTCTGAGAAGGAGGGGCCGGGTGAAAAAAACCTGCTCCAATATTTAGAATTTGGACTGCAATACCTAGTTCAACCACTCGGTGTCAATCCTACATACAGCACCTTTAAATTTTTGTAAGATATTATTAAAAGTCAATTGCCCTATGAACCAACCTAAGCGCTCCATTAAGAAATATCCCACCACTGTCATGACTGAACAATCAGAATCAAGTATTTTGGAAAGCTGTGCAATAATCAGATCTAAGCAAAGAAATACAGTGCTCAGACATCATGGGAGAGACAAAGATGAGGAGCAGCATCCTGGAATCAGATGCTACCCAGATTTCCACCAGCAGACAGTATTCCCAGGGGAATTCTGGGTACCATCAGCTCCACATGTTGTGAAAAAGATCAAAGAGCAGCATCCGAGCCAGCAGGGCAGCGTGCCAGGCAGCATACATGGTGACCTGCCAACCCCAGTTGTTCCTGCCATGCCCACGTCTATCGTGTTCAAACCTGACCTTTTGCATAACAAGCTGCAGCTTCATGGGGAGGTCCCTCCTCTTCCTTATGGCAAAAATCTCAATTAATTAAAACCCCAGCATGTCCTTTTAACTAATGCATATGATGAATTAGTGCCCGATTCCTCTTTGAGCTTGTGGAAAATTTGACTAAAGTAATGCTTGGTGGATCTAAGTTCCTTGTCAGACACAACTCAAATGAAGGCCACCACTCCCCAAGCTTTTGTAGAAGCAGCTGTTGGAAAACACAACATCTGCAGTCCAGAGCAGCAGCAGGACCCAACCCTACTGCGGCATGTGACCAACTCCTTGGGCTTAGTTCACCCCACGCAGATAATGCCTGAGTTCTGCCCTCTCTAATGGACACGACACAATACGTTGTGAGAGAGAGCCAGATTATGATTATGACAGTTATTACACTGAGACACGATATCTCTGTACTCTCTGTACTGGTCAACATTTTATTTGATGCCCCGGGTGGTTTTCATACCTTTCACTATTCAAGGCTGTGACAAGTATGTGAAATCATTCTTTTGAAAGTAACGTTACACAAAAGTTGAGGGCGCTTAAGACAAGCCTGAACTGACATTGGAATGTGATATTACAAAATGATTCTATCAGATTTGTTCATTGAACTACATCTGGCAGGAAAAATATTTTAAAAAAGCAAGATCCAGAGGGAGATAGGAAAAATAATAGGCCTTTTCTTCAACTATGAGCACATTTGGTGCAGGGGAGAAAAAAAAAACACTTTTCACTCTCACTAGTTTGCATGTCATTGTTTCTTTGTGATTTCCAACACATCTCATAAGATTTATTCTGTTTAATTACATTCTTTGGAAATTATGGTGGCGAAAATAAAGGAATAAAATGGCCAACTCTGTTGTTTTACTATGGTCAGTTTCATTGTTAGTGTTTTATGTATCCTATTTTTGTATTATCATTGTCAATGCCAATTTTATGTATCCTGAATACACTTTTTATTTTTAGGGTTCCTTGTATTAACATTAGTTAACTACATAAGTTAACATGAACTTTACTACTGTAGTTATGTGAACTAGTGATAAAATCCTACTAAAGCACTTCTTAATCATACATTATTAAACTCAAAAGTTGTATGTTAATATTATAAAATGGTGGGCATCTATTCAGTATCTGAGAAAGGTTTGCAATCTTACCAAGTTGTGTTCTAACCTTTCTGTGTGTGTTTTTTTTTGGGTTTTTTTGCGGGTAACATTTATAAGCACTGTTGAAATGTTTCATATATACGTTATATGGGTAGTTTCAACAATCCCACTTTTAATCTGATACAGATATTGGTAACTCAATAAAGCAATCTATGCAAATGCTTAGTGTTCTTTCAAATGAGGCTGTGACAAAGAAAAACATTTTGTGCACAAAGGAAAACATTGTGAATCATGTTATAATTATGTGAATGCTTCCATCCAGATCTACAGAATCATGTAAATGAAAACCTACAATATAATTTTTACATCTGCATTCCCTTATCAACAGGTATGGATTTTTAATTTTATTTTTTAAGTTGACCACAATTTTTTAATTTAATCAATATATTAACATCTTAAAATTATGTTATTAAAGTCTACACAGTGACGATACTGACATTACAGGCAAAGAGACACAAAACTGAAGGAAAATGGAATCAGGAACGGGAACTTGAACAATGAATAAGTCCCTTCAGGATCAGGAAGTCTCTTTCAAGTCTGTTTGATGTCCATGGGCAGCAAGGGCCTGTGGATATTTGAGAGGTGAATCTGTATGAATGTGTATATTTTGGAAGGTCCTCTCTTTGATGTCAGTGGGAATTTTTTGGTTTCTAGGTCACCGAGACAGTGGTCAACAGTTATTCCATCCAAGCTGAGAAAAGCATCATTTGAATGTCAGCTGACTATGAAAACAGGAAGATCTGGCTTTGAGTTGGAGGAAGCAAAGTCGTTCCAAAGTCAACAGATCAACTCAGCATGTTCTCAAGGATAGGGCATTTGGCCTGCACTCTTCTTCCTTTTTAAATTCACCTTCTTCTGCAATAATAACATTTCAGCTGGTCCTTGGCAGCATGATGAATTTCCCAGTAGCCTCTAACACTGAGAGACACAAGAAAACTGGGCCAATGATGTGTCTTATCAAGTGAACATACACAATTTCACTGGATCAGAGCAGAAAATCTTGAGCTGCACTAGATGAATCTGAACATAGACACATGATGACAGTTCCTGACATGGGAATAATTCTTGATCTTGTATGGAGGGGGTGTTGCTTGCATGGGGGCTCATGACCTTTATCGTGCTGCCAAAGCCTTACCCATGAGACCTTGCCGCATAATCCATGCCTCATTGCTGGAATATAGGCCCCTGGGTGGAGTTCATCTGCTCCATCCCATATCTAGATGGAGGTAGTGTGGAATATGCACACCGATGAATGAGTGGTGATTTACTTGCTTAAAATATCTCGTAATGTCAGTGATTTGGCTTATTCAAGTTCACAAGAACATCCACAGGAAGCGCAATGAACACTACTGACCTAAAAACACTACTGTAACGCAACTGTTCATATTCAAAAGAGGTGCAAACAGCATCTTGGTGCACAACCCAACTCCCATTTACTCACGTTGAGTCAATTGCCACCACTGGCTTCAGGCCAGAACATGTGCGCTTGTTTGTTGAGCCCTGAAAGCTCTAGCACCAGCTGTGCCACAGATCACAAACGCTGTGAGGAAAGGCCTAAAGATATACAGCTTGTTATGCAATTTTGGTACATTTTGTCCCAGCAACAAACGCATGAGTATTCCTCATGTCCTATACTGCCATACTGACTTTATTGTGCTGGATTTATTGTGCTATCTGAATCCATACACCCATGTGATGAGGATTTTGTGCTCGCCTGGGGTTTGTTGGAATGACCTCACTGCTTTGACATCCCAATCACACTCTTCTAAAGGCCAAAGCAGCAGCAGGATGAGTGACAACCTTTGATCAAATTATAATGATCTGACCCACCAGACAGAAGACGAGCAAATGATTCTGTCCATCAGTGGACGACGATGGCAGTTGTACATACAGCAACAGTGACTGCCTACTTTTGGTCCTGGCAGTATTTTTCTCATGCTTTTTTTCCATAAGGATGAAAAAATATTTATTTAAAAGTTCTATAGACATGAACTAAACTGACAAGTTCTGCTGAACTGCAACATCACAAACTTTGGGGGGAAAAGCATTTCAAAAAGTTTTTGAAAATCAGACAAAACTGCACACTTCACATCTTTAATAAGGCAATGAACTACAAACATTTGAAGCACTGTGAATGATGTAATATAATTAAAAATGATGGAAAAATATAAAATGATTGACGTAAAGATGTTGATTAAAAGCATAGAAACAAAAATTATATTTCAATGCAGTATGTAGTATACAGTACAAAATAAGTAGAATTGATTACATCCAGTAATTGTCTAAGAATACAACTATTTAAAATAATTTTCAGTAAATAAAATACAGCTGGAATAAAATAAAAATATAAATATTAGATGAAAAACTTAACTTAAAACTTACAAAAAAAATCAGATAAATAATAAATCATTAGAAAATTGGAAATATTGCCCTGTCAACTAAATGAAATAAGTTTAAGTTCAAGTACTATAATTACTAAAACTAATTTAACTAAAATAATGCTAAATATTAATAATGCACTCTATTCATGTATCAAAACACTATCCAACAGAGTTGGCTGGCAGTTAAAATGTGGATCCTCTAGACGGCGAGTAAAGAACAAAAGAAATGTTTAAATCAAATCCACCTGCATAAATTATTAGACTGGATACTAACAACTGAGCCATTTTAAATCCAGACAAGAATAATCCTCCAACTCCAGTGAGGCGCCAAAAAGTTGGCAGTCGCAAAAGTAAATCGTCTATGTTGGCATTTGTCAAGTGTTACCAATTACAAACTTTTTTCTTCTAAAGGGGAGATATGAAAAGCCAAGAGGAATTATTATTGAAGGCACAGGCTTTAAATTGGCCAACATACTATTCCCTAATTCTGTAAAGCCAAATGTTTCAGTTTCAGATCAACTCTGTCATCTCCTTAAAGGCTCAACAAAACCACGAGTCAAACTGTACAGTTTTGACTTTCTCAGTTTCTTGATTCGGCACATTTGGAAAGATCTTGTAGGAACCTGTCATATTGTCATATACTTTGAAGGGGAGATGCACTTTAATCAGTCAAATTGGCTGATTGACAGACTGACGGCTGACTGAGATGGACATACAGTACCTTTCGTTCGGGTCATGACAGGCACAAAATGTCTATAAATGTGTGTGGGTCAGACGTCCTTGACTGCTGAGAATCACCTCAGGAATCTGGTATCAGCTTTCAGCCACATGCAGCCGTCTTGTACGGGGAGACGTGGGGCAACTTTATAGACTCCATCATACATGTAGGTCCCTCATGCCTGTGAAAAACACATCAGTTTAAAGGTGCTTTATATGAACAAGAGGGTTATACTGCGAGACATTTTTAAGCAAGATTCTACATTTTATAACAAAGCAGACCTTTGGTGGTGTTTATTTAAAGCTACTGTATTGTCAGATACTGTGACATAATTTGCTAGATTCTGAAATAAATTAATAAATAAATATAGCCTACACACACACTACTGATCAAAAGTTTTAAAGAAATTACTCCTTTATTCAGCAAAGAAATGTGTTTTTTATTTATTTAACTTTCAATTAATCTAAAAAAATTTTTTTTTAATATATTATCCAAATATATTAAGCAGCACAACTGTTTTCAACTTTGATAATAATCAGAAATGTTTCTTGAGCAGCAAATCAGCATATTAGAGTGATTTCTGAAGGATTTCATGGCACTGGTGAAGACTGGAGTAATGACTGCTGAACATTCAGCTTTGCTGTCACAGGAATAAATAGCATTTTTAAACACTAAAACAGAAAACAGTTATTAAATTGTAATATTTCACAGTTTTACTGTATTTTTGATCCGTGTTGTTCACTCGCTTGTAGGGGTGAAACGGATCATAGTTTATCATTTACACGTGTTTCTAAGTCTTACCAATTTACACATTCAGGCGTTTTAAACCATTCATGCGCATGAAGAATTCAGTTCGGTCCTCGCGCGCACATACAGAGCCGCGTTTCAGGCAGAGCAGGAACACAGAATTGATTCCTCTTTCGCTTGAATGGACACATACATGGACAATTATCTCAAAATAACTATCTCGGCAAGTATTTTCATGTAAATGAACGTAAAAAAGTGGAGAAAGAAATCGCACGTGCATCATTATACTGAATCAGTGCATTCGGTCTTAAAGGGGCAGCAGCCTATAAATACCTGCTGTTTAAGCGCCACCTGCTGTCAGAGAGTGACATTTGCGTCTCATTCAGCCCGTCTGCTGTTTTTGTTTCGTTCAGATTTTTTATGTAGTATAGGGCTACTAGGTATTTTGAAATTTTGCGAGCCCTGTGTGTGTGTATGTATATATATATATATATATATATAGGGCGATATCAGGTAAAATGGGCCATTTAAGGTTTGAGTGTCTTATCTCTTTAAAAGTTAACAGCCAATGACTGCAAAGAATTTCAAAATGTTGCCATAACAGTACTTGATATTTAGCAAATTATTTTATTGGTCTGAGGTTGCTAAGGGGGAATTTTGAGACCTGGGGCCCGTTCTTCGTATGTCGCTTATTACATCTGAGATGAAATGTCACATTCAAGATGATATCATCGCGCTAATCAGGATCACATTTTACCTTCTAAATGTGTTTGTATGTGATGTGCGTTTATGTGTGCTCGACTATGTTTGCTTGTGCATGTTAGTGAGGCATGTCTATGTGTGTTGAAGAGTATGTGGTGACGAGAATGGCATTTTTGATGATGACGGCTTTATCTGTCAAGACTGTTTTTGAAAAACCTTCAGATCGAGCTCACACACACACGCACACACACACACACACACACACATACACTATTTGTTCTGAAATTTATTAAATTTTTTAATGAAATGTATGTTTTATTGATGAAATTGATTGAAAGGTTTGAGTGTCTTACCTCTTCTCTTCGAAATTCTTTGCAGTCAGTGACTGGCCCATTTTTGCTGATCAGCCGGCCCATTTTACCTCAACACTGCTATTTCAAAAAATGTGGGGCAGCTAATGTTTCAACACCTGTAGGGCCTGAACAATCATATTTTATTACATCAATTCAACACAAAAATATTAAAAACAGTCCTTATTAATCATAAGAACACAGTTAAATGTCATACATGGGTTTTTTGTTAGTGTCCCAAGCGATTAACCAAAAAGTGGCCCAATTTACCTGATATCACCCTATAGAAAACAAATATTTTAAATTGTAAATATACACTGTTATTAAGTTATTGGTAGAAATTTTATATGTGGTTGGATCACACTGAATGTTTTGTCCATACATAGATAATAGACACAGATAATAAGTGCCTTACTTTTACACCCTGAAAGTTATTGAGACTTTCTTGGACATTTAATAAAATCAAGATAAGTACAAATAAATCCCTTTTTTAAATGCTAAAAATATACCTGAAGCTCAAGTATATTTGAAGCTCATGCACAGCCTAATAAAGTCTTTGTTAAAGAAATTGGTGTGACTGTATTGTCTCATTCCTGTTACGTACTCTTTAAATGCTGTAACTTTGTTGTGTACATTAACAGTAGTCAGAATTCCTAAGAGGATAGAAATAAAAAGCTAAAGTTAAGCATTGCCCAGTGTAGGATTGATGATTATTAGCTTTAACAAGGGGGTTGAACTGAAGCAAGTTTTGATATTTTTAACCATTTTTCAAAATGCTAATATTATCATAAAGTTTTCTGCAAACTGTAACAGGATGAATGTTCTACAGTGAGACAAACCAACAGAAAACATCAGACAGATCCACTGCTAATACTTACTTACGTTTGTGCTGTTTTGCCTCCAAAGTGATGTCACTTCCTGGAGTATGATGTCATTAGAGAAAGTGGATAGTTAGCATAGTTACTCCCTGAAAAATACTGCACTTCTAACAAAATATGATCAGTACATCTTAGGAAACTGCATAATATATACCCAACTGGCTCCCAAATTTATACTTTTGCTGATGTTTCCAACTTTTTGAGGAAGAAACTTAATTTATTGCATAAACGCAATCAGATACGTTCCCTTCGGTAGAATTTAAATAGTTATATATCTCCTTTTAGAAACTGTGAATGAAATGTTTATTTATTTTTTCTGGCAGTAACAATGCTGATATACAGTACTTACTGTTCATTTCTTTGTTTGCATTACAGATGTATTTTTAACAAGGACACATTTCTTAACATTTTACCTATGTTTGAATATGCAGGTTTAAATTCTTTCTTAATTAGTTTGACCATAATGTAAATTTTCTTTCCTTTTAATTTTATGTTGTTTGCATTTGCAGTGTTGTTTTTTCTTTGCAATCAATCAAGAGACAGGCTAACGGGATGAACTGATGTTGAGGCACATGGGGGAAAATTATCAATTTATTAGATAAAAACAAGTATGGTTTTAATGCATATCAAAACAAAATTAAGAAACAGGCTATATATATATATATATGTATGTGTGTCTTTTTTGCCAGTGACATGATAAAAATGACATCTGTTCAATTCAAATGGGTTAAATAACTTATAATTCACCTTATGTTCAAATAATTGTGATTAAAGAAAGCTGTGCAATGTTTTAATAATGTATCATATATTAAGACATATTTGAAAATCTACTTCTCAACAGGAATGACCCCAGAGCAGTAAAGCTTTCCATCATCAGGTCAAGAAAGATTTTGCCTTGTTATTTTTTCTTGTGGCGTGATGACGTTCACACAAAAATGCAGTAAGTTTATGGTATATGAAAGCACTGTTTATACAATGCTTTCCATAGAATATCTAAGAAGGGATGCAACAACAGGGTTGCTAGTTTATTTCATTTAGGCCATTTACCATTAAAAACATTTATCAAACCCTCATTAATTACAGCTCCCAACAGCGCTGGTCTCCTCTTCTTCACTGGATTTTCCTTATCTCACAAAGTACTTTTTCCCCACTTTACTTCTACAACCCAAGTTCACTTACACCATCAGACACACCTAAACCCAACACTATGGTATTGTGAGTGATGTGAAACACAACTCCTGGCCTCCGTTCCATTAAAGCCCGTTACTTATGGAACGAAACCATAACAAACTCACTGCATCATCATAAGCATTCTCATAAAACATTCACACCAGATGAGGTCACGAGAAACCCATCGTCCATTGGCTAGCCAGCAGTCAGCCGAGAACAGGAGACCAGTTACCATTGGCTGCTTCCTGTCAGTAGCATCTCGACTGGAAGCACGAGTTCCTGTATCGATCCGGGGTCGTCCTCACCTCTGGCAGGGGAAGGGGGATTGTTTTGTTGTATTGGTAATACGATATGATGAAAAGACTTACCACAAACTCAGACGAGCGCCTTTAGTACTGAACACCAGCAGACAGTGGCTCTTTTGAGCACATTGTTATAAAATGCTTTAATAAATAGTTTGATTTATTTCTAAGAACAAACATAAATTCCACTAAATGAACCAAATAACTTTTTTTCAGAGCAATTCTTCTGTACAAAAAAACTAATAATAATACATCTTAAAAAAAACAAAACAAAACAAGAAAACTCTCCTCCAGCTCCACCCCATTTCCCTACCATAATGGACATCGAGCTTAACTTGCTTATTTAAACTTGTTTGCTTGCACTTGATTGTGAACCAGTTGTTCAGGAACAGTTTTAAACGTTTGTCATCTTCCCATAAGCAAAAAAACTAAATCTAATATTTAACATCATGATGAAAGAAATCAAATCATAGCCAGCCGTTTCTGAGGTAATCCATTTCTTTGAGCTGGTACCTCGAGTACAAATGCTTTACAACATAATTGCTCCCTTCATGAAGTTTAGATCCAACCAAACAAAAACAGAAAAGAAGGAGAAAACAGTTGGACATCATAATTTTGACATATCAGCATTTTTACAAGAAACAAGCAGCATGGTTTTATGATCAGCAAGAAAGGACAGGTGTGGAAAGGGAATAGGGGTCTTCAAGAAGGTGAACCACACGCCACAATACAGCACACGATCATAGAGGTGTCTAGTGAAAACAAAAACCAACAACATAATAGGATGATCTCTGATTATATTTTTGTTCTGACTGGGACGCTGTATACATCTTACAAAACATGCCATATCAACTGGCATAAATAAGAATGGTATTTAAAACAAAAAAACAAACAATAATAATCATAATATTTAAATCATAATAATAATAATAATAATAAAAAAAGTGACTTAAGTTACTAAATTCAAATATACACAGCGACTCCTTTATTATATACACATATTTACAGATCTCTTGTCTTTGTTTAAACAAATACCTTGATGGTGATATTGGAGCTGCTCTTAAGACCAGCCTCTCCTCTTTGTCGTGATCTATTGGGTCAGGAGACCCTGAAACCGAGGGGCTTGTCTGAAGGCACTTGCGACCGACTCAAAATACTGCAATCCATTTTTTTAAAGAGCATTCAGCCAAGATGACAAAGGACAGAAAAAACAAGGCCACTTTATAGGCACCGTAGCCCTCCTCACGGACGACGAGCTCGGTAAGGCAGGCGTGGAAGGAGAACAGATGAACGGTTGAAGGGGGATCCCCCGAAGCCAGCGTCCCCCACCCCCCGCACGTGGTCTGCACCGACATTGGGCCACTCGAAACAAAACCAAAAGCACAGCCATTTGTAAACAACAACGTAAAAGTCTTTATACGGTTTCTCTCACGAGTTCCTTAGTCCTGCTCCTAATCCAGCAGTTTTTTTCTCCGAAAACAATGCAAGGCTTCTCACCGCCTCCTTATAAAGAAATATAATTTGCTTCCTCTGTACATAAAAAAAGGAACGAAAGAAATTTGCCACTTTATCAGCCTCAAAACATCTCGAAGAAGTCAAACATAAAAATAACACATGGGAAAAGCTCCCGTTTCTGAGATGGCCTTGGTCTCCTCATCCTGCTCGACGGAGCTCATACGCAATGTTCTTTGTGCTCTTGGCCGGTGATGACATTATTGACATTTTTACAGCTGTTGTCCTTTGGGCTGAAGCCTGTCCAGTAGGGTGCTTTGAGGGAAGGGCTGCTGCAGCCGCCGCTACCGCTGCTCCGCATGGTGCAGATCAGCCCGTTCTTGGTCCGCGCTGCAGGTTTAGAGTACTTTTGGATGGGACCCTTGCCCCCCTCTGTCCCACACCACTCTTCAACCAGCTCCAGCTCTTCCTCCTCCATCTCCTCCTCGTCCTCCCCGCTTGTGCAGGTCCGATCCGGGGAGCCCATGAGCTTGGTGCGCTCGTACTGCACGTCCCGGTTGTCCTTGTGCTGCGGCCGCGTCACGGGCCTCAGCGGTTCCCACTGGTTGTTGACGCTCTCCTCCGCGGGCACGCGCTCCCGCCTCTCACGCTCTTTTCGACGCTTACGGGTCCACCATACACAGACGATGACGCAGAAGACCCAGAGTATGCACAAGATGACACACAACACAGGCACCAGGTAGTCTGTATGGAAAGAGAGTCGAGTTAGACACGGCAAATCTGGGACTCGTGCCAAGGAGGAAAATAATGAACAAAAAGTAGGGATGCAAAACAAAAACATTTTTTATTGGCCGATATAACTCACTTAATTTATCAGTAATGGTCAATAGTGGATATTTTAATTGGCCAGCATTGGATATTTAATTGTGGACACTAATTACACAAATTTTTCAATATTATTCAAGACAAAATAGTGTGTACATGTATAATATAAAATGGTGTGTATATATAATATAAATATATGTAAACACTATTTTGTCTAATACAAATTGCAATAAACACTCTAAAACAAATATATAATTATATAAATTATTTTTAAGATCAAAAGTCACTTAAACACTCATTTGCTATTGACCAGTTTTTTTTATTAATTAGACAAAATAGTATATATTTTGTAATATTAGCCATAATATTAGTATAATAGTATAATAATAGTATAATATTTGCCATAACATTACAACAAAAATAACCATCATCTAAGCGGTATGGGCCACAACAGAATTGAAATAATAGATATTTCGATGGGCCTGCATTAGATATTTAGTTGTGGACACGCAATACATCAATTTTTCGATATGATTTGAGTAAAAATAGTGAAAATAAAATAAAATAAAATAAATCACACTATTTTGTATTCACAAAAATAAATATAATAAACACTCTAAAATAATTATTTAAATTAAATGTATAAATTATTTTTAAGATAAGAAGCCACTTAAAAAATCATTAGCTATTGACAAGAATTATTTTAGATTTTTTTTTTATTAGACAAAATAGTATATATTTTTTAATATCGACCATGTTACATTACATAACTGAAATGATTGAGAAAAAGGTCTTGAATAATTTGGCTTTAATTCCTATAGGTTTCAAATATTATTCCTTTTTTTAAAACCCATTTATAATTGTCTTAACCCAAAAATCATTAAGTTTGTCCCATCATTCTCATTAATGTTTTGCTGTGGAGTGACAGATGACTGCGGAGGAGTTATATGACTGTCACACAGGTTTATGGCCTCCTGCCCACAACTGCTGGATCCTCTCGGTACCCTTCCTCCTGTGACTCACAAAGACATTTAAGCTGCACTAATTGGTGGAGACGGGGAGTTGACACTCGGTCAGGGGATGAAGGCTGGCTTTAGCCTCGAGGCCAGTTGGCCCCTGCTCTACTCACCCACTGGCTGGGACATGACCGGCATCTCCACTTTGACCTCGATGACGGCAAGCATGGCGGTGCTGTTGTGCCGCTTGGACAGCATGCTGACTATGGTACTAGCTGCCTCCTGGATCTGACTGTGGTTAGGCTGCTCGTCCTGCTGGAACGACTGCAGGAGAAATAATGGGGATTAAATATAGTTTAGATTGTATCCCAAACATGTAATATGAGGCCAAGATTCCAAATAAAAGCCACCTACAAAGAACAATTATTTATTGTAAATGTGAGGTTTTGGGGCATTGCTGCATTGACACTTGACAATCCCGTATTTGTTGATCTTCTACATCCGAATTTATGTCTTG